AGCGACCTGCTTCTACTGACCTCTCTAACCCGGAGCGTCTACTGGAGAGTCAATAGTTTTAAGACAAATCTTTCATATGCCTCTTCTCCTTGCCTTTATTGCAATCACTATGTGGGCAAAAAGAGAGTTTTGAAATAGGAGTTTGTAATTACGTTACTGTGTACCACATCACTTTGGAAGTTTTAAAGATATTTTTTAAGCTATGAACATCAGCATAGTTTCCAGAAACTCTGCTAAATCGGAGCCCATGAGCAGTGTTTCTGAAGCCTCAAAATATCAGCTCAGTTTGCTTTTGCTGCAGGGATATAGTACTTTGTGCAAACATTTCCATGTTTACTTGACACACTTTCACACTAACGAAGAAATTAGATCTGTAGGAACATTCTTGTTTTTGTCACAAGCAAAATCTCAGCAGCTCTAATATTTACCTACTTACCCAAAGTCAGACATTTGACTCTTCACAAATTTGAATTATAAATATGAATTATATGCTAGCACAAACATGAACAGAGTAATCTACCATTCTTTTCAAGTTGTGTTCTCTTTAATAACTTTTCTTCTCTCTGGTAAGGTTTGCATGTACTAGGGATGACCAAATGTAGTAAAAAATTGTTAAGTGGGGTAAATGACTTGTAGAATTTCTGTATCTTTTTTTTCCCCTTTCAATTCTAACTTCACTCTGCTTTCTTTCTGTTTTATTATTATTTTTAGCATCATTGAAAATACATCCTGCATATCAGATATTTACATTATGATTCATAACAGTAGCAAAATTACAGTTATGAAGTAGCAACGAAAATAATTTTATGGTTGGGGGTCACCACAACATGAGGAACTGTATTAAAGGGTCACTGCATTAGGAAGGTTGAGAACCACTGGAGGTGTTTAAATGTCATCTTAGATAGCATATTAATATATACCACTTATTGACATACAATAAAGTAAATATTGTGTATTAAAAAGCTGGAGTTTTAGAGTGTTTAAACTTTGGAAAGATTGTGATTACCTGTCCCCAAGTTATTTAAAAATGTAATTAAAAAATAGTACAGATACATGATTAAATTAAAAGAATTTCTTTAGAAATTATCTGATTGTACAATTTTAAGTATGGCAATAAAGCTGGAGTTTTTTGGGTTTATTTTTTTGGATTGATTGTTTTTCACAGGCTTTGCTGCAGTCCTAAATTAGTTTGGTTTGCTACTGCCCTGATGCTAAACAGTTTACACATATCTAAACTTCAGAATACAGATACTAAATTACAGTGTAGGGAATTAATATTTTATTTTAATTTTTGTTAATTCTCAATAAGGATATTTTTCCCATTGCTTTTTAGAGAGATTGGACGGGAGGGACGGAGGGGGGGGGTATGGGGAGATAATGAATGAGAGAGAGAGAGAGAGAGAGAGAGAGAGAGAGAGAGAGAGAGAGAGAGAGAGAGAGAAATATTGATGTGAGAGATACATCCACTGGTCACTTCCTGCATACACCCAGACTGGGGGCCAAGTATCGAACCTGCAACCCAAGTGCATGCCCTTGACTGGGAATGGAAACCGAGACCCTTAAGTCTATTGGGCTGACACTCTAACCACTGAGCAATACGGGCCAGGGCAGTGTAGGGAATTAACATATTTTCCAAGTTTTCCCACTTACTAGGTACTAGGATTCAAATTGAGACTCGTATGTTTAGTGACCAGTCAAGAAGCTTTTATTATCTTATATAATAAAAGCCCAGCGACCAAATGACGGAACGACCAAAGTGACCGGTCAACCGGTCACTAAGACGCGCACTGACTACCAGGGGGCAGATGCTCAATGCAGGATCTGCCTCCTGGTGGTCAGTGCGCTCCCACAGTGGGAGTGCTGCTCAGCTAACCAGGATGAGCGGCTGCTCCTGCAGCAGGCCAATCCTTGCAGGTCACCGCCCCTCCCTCCACCAGTGCATGAGTCCCGTGCACTGGGCCTTTAGTCTTAATATAAAGGCCAATGGTCTATCCTTAGGCCCTGAACTGCATTTGACACTATTTCACATTTCCCTATCTGGCTCCAGTAAATGTTTCTAGTCTTACTGCCCACGCCTGCTCCACCCATACACTACACCCTGGCCCAGTGATGGCGAACCTTTTGAGCTCGCGTGTCAACATTTTGAAAAACCCTAACTTAACTCTGGCGCCGTGTCACATATAGAAATTTTTTTGATATTTGCAACCATAGTAAAACAAAGACTTATATTTTTATATTTATTTTATATATTTAAATGCCATTTAACAAAGAAAAATCAACCCAAAAAATGAGTTCGCGTGTCACCTCTGACACGCGTGTCATAGGTTCGCCATCACTGCAGCCTTTGTTGGACTGTGCCTTCACTCATGCTCTTTCCTTGCCCTGGAATGGAACTTACATTAACAGTCTATTTTGTACAATTACTCAAAACAAGACAATGGACAGTTGCCACTCCCCACCCCCCACCCCATCTGTGGTTTCACTTTCTGCAGTCTGTTACCCATGGGCAACTGCAGCCCAAAAAATATTATATGGGAAATTACAGAAAGAACAATTATAAGTTTTTTCATTATGAGCTGTTTTGATGAACTCTCACACCGTCCAGCTCCATCCTGCCTGGGATATGCATCATATCTTTGTCCAGAGTAGCCAAGCTGTACATGTTTCCTGCCCGTTACTCATTCACTTGCCATCTTGGTTATTAGGATTGTCTTGATATCGTGGTGCCTGTGTTCGAGTAACCTTCACTTTATTTAATAATGGCCCCCAAGTACAAGAGCAGTGATTCTGGCAATTCGAATATGCCAAAGAGAAGCCAGAAAAGTGCTTCCTTTAAGTGAAAAGGTATGTATGTATAGCAAAAATATCGCATATTTAGGTTTCGGTACTATCTAAGGTTTCCAGCTTCCCCTGTGGGCTATTGTACTGCTGAGCCCAGAAAAGATGGTTTCATCTGGCAATGTGGGGGTCTAACTTCACCTCACACAGTCTTTTAAATTAATCCTTTTGTTTTTAACCCCTTAACTTCAGTTTGAACCTTGACAGAAACCCCGGGCCTCCATATCATGAGAAAATCATTTTCTCCTCTAAAAGCAGTTAAATTCAGCACCCGCTTCTCTTTTTTTAGTCACAGACGAAAAATCTGCCTTTCTTTTCCATTCTCCCATTTGGTTTATTCTCTTCCGTTCTCTGTTTTTGTGGGGTTTTTATTCTTTTTCAGTAGGGTTTCTAGATGAAGAAAAATACATCTGGGCATTCAATTTGTCATATTTTATTGGAAGTCTAATTTTTTAAAATAAAAAGAAAAGCAGCCTGGTGGTAAAATCCTGGACTTTGGAATCAGATTCCCTATCTTAATTAAAGTCAGAGACCACAGAGAAAATGGTAATATTTGTATAGTGTGCGGGGTGAGTGACAGGACTGAAGTAGACTGTCCCTGAGCAACGCCTCCACCTTGAGACAGTGGTGATCCATCTCATGGCACACATGCCTCACTAGGTGGCTGGGTTGCTCTGTGCATCAACAGGTTTGAATCCTGTTTGGCTTGGTAGTTGCATGGCCTTGAGCAGGTTAAGCTCCATTTGTAAAAGAGGGGGTGAGGATTATAGTTTCCACTTCTTTTTTTTTTCTTTAAATATATTTTATTGATTTTTTACAGAAGAAGGGAGAGGGATAGAGAGCCAGAAACATCAATGAGAGAGAAACATCGATCAGCTGCCTCCTGCACACTCCCCACTGGGTATGTGCAGGCAACCAAGGTACATGCCCTTGACTGGAATCGAACCTGGGACCCTTGAGTCCACAGGCTGATGCTGTATCCACTGAGCAAAACCGGTTAGGGCTAGTTTCCACTTCTTAGTACTCTTTTGAGAATCAGAGGGGCTAGCATATTTGAAAGTGGGAATGCAGTGTATACACACAGTAGGTCAATAATTGTCTACTCCCTTCCTTGACAGCTCCTCCAATCAACCTTACCTCGCTATGTAGGTGCTCACATATTTGTTAATCAAATGCTAAGGTGGACATCATTGTAATACAACAGGGAATACTTTGGGGTCAGGGAATACTTTGGGGTCAGGGGGTCTTGTATACAGGAGACCAGCATTAAGCAACTGGGCAGAGGAAAAGAGGGAGCCAGGAGGTTAAGAAGCGTTGTAACTTTCTCTGGATTCATGTGGTGACAAGTGTCTTTTGTTATTGGAAATCATTTTGATTTGAGGCTATTAGAAGGAATAAAGTACTCTGTAGGAGTCAGGAAAGTCTAGTGCCTTGTTTCTCAGTTGAAAGGAAACAGCCCAGGTGGCTAAAGATTCTTGTTTATTTTGCAATAGATTTATCTCTGTTCTGCTTAACCCTTATCTTTTCCTGCAGAATAATCTGTTTACAACTTCTCAGGTTTACAATCCTTCCTAGGGCCAGGGGCATGCCACTATTTCTCACTTCAGATTTGGAAATGCACATCTTTCATTTAAAACAGAAAATACTGCCACACCAAAATGGAACGTGTTTGGCATACTCCTAAGGCAAATGAGATGGCACATGAATTTCGCTAACATGTAAAAAACAGGGAAAGAGCTTGAAGAATGGTAAACCCAGATACTACTTTATATCGCCTTTCTCTTACTTTTCTTCAGCTTCCTCTTTTTCTCTTTTCATCAGGTCTTCATTTTTCTTTCTTTCTTATCAACAAGAGGTACACAGAAACTCCAAAGAGGCAAATTGGTAGGGAGGAAATGTACAAGTCCATTCTTCTTTTTGCTTCTAGTCCGGTGGGGAGTGAAGCCCTTATCTCAGTGGGGTTAACTACCCCAGAGGCCTGTCATTCACCCCCAGGAAGCATTTCCCAATTCTGCCTGCAATACCTCCTACCACTCCTCCTACTTTCTCAGCTGCCAGGAAATCCTGGAGCAGTCTTTGCCCTGGAGCCGCTTGTGTTGTTAATAATCAGCGATTGAGTTGAGTTGAAACAATACAAAACTAAAACGCACATTTCAGGGGCCTCCCCGCATACCCCGGGGTTGCTGGCTTCCTCTGCAGGCCAGAGGCGAGGCCGCCTCCAGCACCAGCTCGCTCTCCAGAGATTTGCCCAGAGACGCTGAGCGCAACTTGTTTGCCTGACAACTGAGAGTGGGATGGGCCCATGGGCCTCATCCCAGGGCCTCTGTGTGTGAGAGAAGGGAGGCCGTGCTGCAGTTTGAGGGCGCTGTTCCTGGGAACCGCGAGGAGGGCAATGCTTGGAGAGGTTGGATTTCTTGCAGGGCCACCGTCACCACGCGCAAGGGCACAGTGACGCCTCCCCTCTCCCCCCATTTCACTATCCGAACCCCCTACCCCCACTCCAGCCTGTTGCTTCCTCCGCGGCTCCAGGTCGGTTTTTCCCGGCGACTCTAGTGTGACTTCCAAACTCCTAGGCTGCGACTCACCTCGCCATTAGCCCCCGCCTCCCGCCTGCTGCCCTCGGGCCCCAGGGAGCCTCCAGCACCCCGATCGTCGCCTGCGAAGTGCACTCGGGGGCCGCAGATCGCAGGTCCTGCAGGGGGCGGGGGCCGCTAGCGGCGATGAAGCCGTCTTGGCTGCAGTGCCGCAAAGTCACCGGCGCCGGAGGGCTCGGGGGACCCCTGCCCGGGTCCTCCCAGGCTCGGGGAGCCGGCCCGGCCCGCAGGGCGTACGTGGCCCCGGGTCCGCGGAGCGCCCTCGGGGGCCGCGGCTGCCGCGCGCTTTCCTCCGGCGGTGGCGGCGAGTACAAGACCCACTTCGCGGCCTCGGTGGCGGACCCCGATGGGTTCTGGGGCAAAGCCGCGGAGCAGATCAGCTGGTACAAGCCCTGGACCAAAACGCTGGAGAACAGACACCCTTCCACCAGCTGGTGAGTGACTCCTTTGCCCACCCCGATCTTTGGCCTCGACGTCCCCTGCACGGGGAACCTGGAGTTCTATTAGGAATGGAAATCGAGACTCGAGATGTGCGCTCAGACCCTTCAGTTTGTGTTTAATTTCAATTTCACAGCTTTCTTGCCTGCTCTTGAGGAATTCGGTTATCTATTGTGAGTCCAGTTTCCTGTAGAGAGTTTACCTGTATGGCAGGGCTTCTGCGCGGCACTGGGATGTTAAACTGATTAAATCAAGGGCCTGTCTCCAGGAACGGCACAGCCTAACATGGGAGAAAGCCATGTAAATAAATGCAAGCACTCTATTAAACTAGGGAAATACGGCTAAGTAGCCATGGGGAGAAGGGGATAGTCAATCAGTAAATTCACACCCAAGTAGGGTTGGGGAGGGTGGGTATGTCTTCTCAAAGTCCTCAAGTACCTAAGTCTTAAAGACCAGGAGCTGGAAATCAGGTTGAAATTGGACTGCTTCTGATTGTGTTAGCTGAAGAGGTGGGAGAGGGGCTGTCAGTCAGGGCTGGGTCGGGAAGGGTTTCATGTGTCATGGCCAGGAGCTCCATAGCCCTGTTCTGTGTGTGAAGCTGGAGTATGGGAGTGCCCAGAAAGAATGCAGATAGAGGCCAGGTGGTGCTAGAAATCATGGTAGGCGCAAAAGCTTTTCTTCTAGAGCGGCAATTATAAGTAGTTATAAACATTTTTTTTGTATTACAACAATCAGAGATACTTTATAGAATAAACACCAACTTGCTAGAATAGTGAGGGTGAGACACAGATTGTGAGAACTGAGAGTGGTGGCTAACTTTTTGGGACATGCGCCTCACCGGTATGACTGTGGTTGCTTTCCTCTGCCAGCCATTAGGGAGCAATGTTTCCTGAAAAAGTTTTAGAAGCACTGCAAGAAGGTTTCCCATTTCCAAGTTCCCAGCAGTGAGATGGGGAAAATGACATGGTCAGGTTTGCATTTGACAAATGTCTCCTTGTTGAAGGCAGAGAACCTGGAGTGGGGAAGAATAAGTGGACCAGGGCTGATCTGTGTTGCCACCCTACCCCGTACTGTCCTGTTTGAAATTCAATGTTTGCATGGTTTTCCCTTTAGAATCTGAGGGCCTTTCCTCTTCCAGTTCTTATTTTGACAGTAGTGTTTGACTCATCCTCTTTTACATGCCTGGCAATGACCTATACACCAATGAGTAATACGTGGTCCCTGCTTTTTGGGAATCATGATGATTGAGAGCTGGAACCAGAATATTGGGTTTGAGTCCTGGCTTTTGCAGTTACTGGCTGTGTGTTCCCAGTCATGTTACTTAATCTCTCTGTGCTTCAATTTTCATATATATAAATGTAGAAATAGTATGCGGATTACCTAAATAAAGAATTAAGACCCTGACTTGAATGAAATAGACCCTGTAAAAGTTAAAGGAAGAATAGGTATTTTGCACTCATACCACAATTATTTTAGGAGCAGGAAACCCTCCTACTGTTTCTTAGATCAAAACACAGATTATTTCCTCTCCTAAGAGTGTGTTCTCAAAGTTCTGTCATAAAGTATGGTACTGAAATGATTGATGTGACCATCTCTTCCATAACACTGCAAAGAACTCAAGAAGTCACTGGGACAGTCCAAACAAAAACAAGGGCCAAACATAAGGCAGTGGCCAAGCATACATGGAGGAGAAAGGACAACAACTGAATGATGTTATTCAGTCAAATAATATTATTCTAACACTACTATTCAGTCAAACACTACTGAAAAAACAGAGTCTTGAGGAAATCTTTAAAAGTGGTTCACAATGAATAATAAGGATTAGATGTGAGAAGAGGGGAGGACCATTCCAGACTATGAAAACAGCATTGGCAAAGGCCTTGAGTTATATAATAGCTCAGTAAATTCTATAAAACTGAAAGCAGGCTAATGTGGCTGAGGCTTAAGGAATGACAGGAAAATTATCAGGAAATGGAAGAAGAGAGCCATATTCCTAGTGGTCTTAGGAGTCGTGTTAAGGATTTGAACATTTTTTTTTTCCTCCCACATAACGCATGTCATATAATGTGATTAAAACATGAGTGTCCTACTCTTTTTTCGCTAGAACAAGACAGCTTTCAGTTCAACCCTGTTACCAGACTAAATGGGTCTATTTGAGCACATTAAAGCGCAATCAAACACAAGAGGAGTTTGCAGCCAAGAAAGTAAAGTATTAGTTGAGGAAATGGTGCCAAGCTTGGAGTCTCAGGTAAACTAATGTTCAAAGATCTGGCTCCCCAGTGGCTTCCAGGGCATGGGTGATATAGGGGAAAAATCATTAATCATGGTGATTAAAGGAGTTGGGATCCTGGTTCTACTGATTGGCAGGGACCAGGAAAGGGAGGAGGTGATCACTGTGTCAGGTGCTGATGTTCTGCCTGGTTTCCTGAGGCTGTGGAACAGTTAGGGTAGGGTCTTTCTGCGTTCATGGGCCTGGGACTGAAACTCAATGAATTTAAAATGCTATCTTTACTTGGAAGGAAACTCTGTTTTGTGGTCAACAGACCTGAGGCTTTGTTCTTAAGACACATTAATACTGAACAGAATGTGATGTCCTACGGACTTAATGATTAAGGAAGGGAGTGGACTTGGACAGAAAGGAGAAAAGTTCAAAGGAGAAAGGATCATGTTAAAGAAATGGAGTTTCTGTGAAGTTACAACCCCAGCTCTGCCACTTACCTTGGGTTTTCTTCAATATTTTCATAATGTTAGTATCAATTTCTTAGAATTGTGTAGGGGAAGGGAACTTATAAAATGTCCAGGACTGTGCCTGGCACACAGTACTGGGTATTAATGTCTTTTGACTATGGGAGAGATAGTCTCATTAGCTGATGTGGTTCAGGAAGTTTTCAGAGAAATGGTAGCTTTTGAACTGATCATAAAGTGGGACTTAAGGAGAAAAAACCAACTTTTTTTTTTTTTTTAATGTGGGGAACAAACATGGCAAAGGCATGGAGATATGAAAGAATCAAGTGTGCTTGGAGTATCTAAACAAAACAGTTGGCTTGTAGTGGTTATTTTGAATTACTGGTAATGGAATTCAGAAGGTAGTTTCAGGATGGTTTAAGAAGACTCAGAAAGCATGCTCAGGCATTTGCATTCACCCTCAGGCCATAAGTCACAATCTGACAGGCTGCAGATAGGTTTTGTTTGATCCCGATGCTGGACATTTTTTTGTTTGTTTATAAAAATTAGTTATCAGTATTTAAACATTGGAAGATCTCATCTAAAATTAAATTTCCTTTAACAAGTCACATTTTGGACTTCTCCTGAAAAGAAAACAAAAAGCGGACCATCTGTCAGCAGTGGGTCAGCATTTTCCTGTGGTAACACTTGGCTGGAACTGAGTAGCTGCTGTTCCAGGCAAAATTAGACATAGTGACTGGCTGGCTGGGGTGCAGGGAAGAAAAGAAGTTGTGGTGACTGCAAGAATATGAGTCAAAAGTCCAAGTAGAGGAATTGATTGAGAAATTAAAGATAATCGGTTGAAAATGTGAGAGGGAATTGATGTAGAATTATGGTTTTGACTATAAATTGCAAAGAGATGAGAGTTAAAGCCTGGTGGATGTTGAGTGTAGGGAGACAAAGAGGAGGAAAAATACTGTGGAATGGTTGGGACTTGTTCAAAGAAGTAGAAGCAAGAGTAGGGTATTTTTGTGTCATGGAGTATGAGAAAGAGGAGAGGTAAAAGTAGGGGAAGTCCATAGAGGTCATGGGTTCTAGAGTTGCTGTGAGGCTATTGAGGATTGAAAGATCAGTTTTGACTCAGAAATCATCAGTGACTTTTAATAATGTTATATCAATGGAGAGATGAAGGCTAAAGCCAGAACACTGCATTTCAGAGTGAACTGATGATAGGTAAACACATGGATGTATTTGACAGTGACCTAAGGGAAATAGAATAAGAGATTGTGAAGGTGCCCAGGTTCCCTAAAAGAGTTTCCTCACTCTCTTTACTTTTCTCCTCTGCCCCATTTAGGAGAAACCCATGTTTAAAAGGCAGAAGTGAAAAAAATCTGTGAAACAGGAATAAAGGGAATTTTGCTTAATTGAAACTATTCCTCATCAGCAGGGCTCCCTGTTTTTGCAAGTTGAACTTTGTGGCTTATTATTATATTTTTCTTTAGATACTAGAAGTTCATGAAAGAAACAAGATGGACGTTTAAAAGATGGAATAAAGAACTACTCAGCAGATCTATATGCTCCTGTTATAGCTATTCAGCTAGATAGCTAAATATTTGATTGTGAGATTGACAGGGAAGAAGAGACCGTGGGAAAGGGATGAAATAATATTTGTTCAATTATTCTAAGGTTGCCAGGCAACATGTTGGTAAGTTGTTCAGAGGGGAAAACTTCTTTATCTTGTACTTGGAACTTTTCTATGAGTTTGACATTGTTTAAAAGGAAAAAATAAAATAAAATATAATGTGAATTTTATATAACCAGAAGTAATTTAATTCCCCTACTGAATTTTGGTTCTTTGGCAAACAATTTCTCAGGCACATTTCAACTGTTAGGGAAATTCAGTCTTTTTTAAAGCCTTAGTAAGATTCTGAGAAATTTCCTTTATATGTTTCAGATTTTATATAGTTATATTTAATTCTTTTGAAGGTCAGAGTTTTATCTAAGGATGAAGACTTGCCCCTTTTTGTCAAACTCTAGCAGCGGTTCTCAACCTGTGGGTCGCGACCATCGGAAAACACATACAGCATATCAGATATTCACATTACTATTCATAACAGTAGCAAAATTACAATTATGAAGTAGCAACGAAAATAATTTTATGGTTGGGGGTCACCACAACATGAGGAACTGTATTAAAGGGTCGCGACATTAGGAAGGTTGAGAACCACTGCAGGAAATGAATTTATTCATAATATTATGTACAGTATAGGTATATCTAAACTTAAATATAACATTGTTATATTTTTAGAAGACACATGGTCAGCATGAAAAT